GTAAGTTATCTTATTTACTTTAAAAAAAATTTAAACAATAGAGTTAGATCTATATTTCTAGATCTAGCCAAGTTGAAGTTGTGTTAAACTTGTTGTCACTGTTGTTGTGTAGTAAAGTACTAAAGTGTGTCACTGTAGTGAAGTGTAGTGTAACTGTTACTTTTAATGTAGGTAAGTATTATTGTTAGTAAAATAAAACTTGTTAAACTTAAACCTGATTCACTAACTATAAAAAAATATCACTACACTAGCTAGGTTATCTAGTCTAGTCTAGTACTCTAGTACTATAACTGGTCTAACCTAACGCCAATCCTGACTAGTGACTAAGCTACACATCAACTACACATCTAAAATTGACTAAACTCTAAATCTACTCTTACTAGATCTACTGTTACAGTACACTACACTTAACAACACTACCCTCTAAGTCTAAAATCAGCCTTCTAATCTCCTTAAATTTTGGTTACATTTGTTTAAACCTTGATTTTTTCTAATATATTGACTGAGCTCGGTTAATTTAGAATATTTTAATCAATTCTATTACCTTTGAATTTATTAAAGCAGTTTAAAAAAAAATTCTAAAATTCGAAATAACAGCTAAAATTCAATTTCTTACATCACTAAAAATGCAAAAGTGTGACGTCACACAATGTAAACCCCCTGTGACACTCATCACACATTTCACAAAATTACGGAGACAGAAGTCTCAAAGTCAACTCAAATTGATTTTGATTTGAATGAAATGAGTTAGGCCTAAGAATAAGTTGTAGACTAGTTCTACATTCTGATTCTGATTAGTGAGATAGTCGCTAGTAAAATTTCCTTTTACTAAATAAAAGGTTTTTAGACCAGATGCTCAGTGGTGCAGATGATATTGTCTTTGAGTTTACCTGTTTTTGTGACCTCAGCCACCTTAACTTAAAGTTTGGTACCCTCCAAGGGCATGAACTAAACTGTAGACTAAAATTTGTATTCAGTCTATGCACTCTTCTGTACAACCATACTTTATCGTAAAGATATGACATTTGATTATTGTGGATTAATTGAATACAAAAAGGATTACAGTAAGAAAAATAAGAAAATAAAAGTCACAGACTTAAATTCTTTACCTATTGTCAGAGTAGTACTATAAGTTTGGCTATAAGATGACAATATAATAAGTTATTACTACTAATGTATTATGACAATTAATTAAACAATAAAAAAGTATGCTAATTGCTATGATCAAATGTAAAAAATTATAATGTACATTGGGTCCACAAAAATGATTTTGTACAATGTTTCATCATTTTATTATTACTTTATTTTCTGCTTCAAATACCTGCCAAAAAAAGTAGTAAAGACAAATACTGTTATAAATACAATGAACTAAAAGTGAACAAGTGACTCTTAAATTAAAATGACATCAATATTGGCGCAGAATATGCACACGGAAAAAAACTGATCCATGAATGATGGTTAAAATAACTAAGAAACTTTTATTAACAGCAGAAGAAAACATGATTATTCTTGAAAAATATCACATCGATGAAAAAAAGTGTTTAGAAATTGAGCTGGACAACAGGCAATTTTTAAAGCACTCATGGAACAGAAAGCATTAAAAACATTTTTCCTAGTATAAACAAATAAGCTCAAGAACTGAAATAAACCTAGACTTGTCCTAGCTTATGATGAAAGTTTAGGGCTATTAATATTTCCTCTTTGAATATTGAGTAATGGCACCGCTATTTTCATGGTTGTGTACAATGTCATTGTTAAGTAGGCCTACTGTACTCACACTTATAATAATAAGTAATATTTACTGTTGATTGAACTTGTCCTACATTTTATTTAGTAAAGGCTGCATTTTTTAAAAGGTTGATATGCCAATAGTATTACACTAATTGTAATCTGTTTGATGTGATGTGAAACCCCTGATTCTTTATTGTTGACATGGATGTCTTTTGTCAATTTTACCTTCAAATGAAAGAAAACAAAAGTTCAAAGTAAAAATTATCAGAAATTAAATATTAAAAAAGCTATAAAATGTGTATACCACTATAAGTATAAGTGAACACGAAAGTAATTGTTTGATTTAATGTTATATTTCTATTCATTTACATCCATCTGACATTAATTTAATTTAAGCAGCCCCTTTTTTAACTTAAAACTTTGTTAGTTAATATTTTGTATCAGCTTTATAAGACAACAAGACCTAATTATGCCATATTTGTTTACTTTTTCCGGGAAAAAATGAGAAAAAATCAAATTGTTTATGGTTTTTAAAAAATTGTATTTAGTCACCAAAAATATCTGTCATAAAAAAACCCACACAATCAACAATTTATAATATTAACATATCTGTTTTAACAACCCTCTCCCTTTTTAAAAAATAATTAAAGGGACACTTTTTTCCCTGGTGAATACCATTGAAGAATTGTTGCTCCCGCAGTTTTTTATGTTTTATTTTAGTTGACAATACCTAATTAAAATAGCCAATTTTACACAGGAGCCATTATATAATTCAGTAAACTTCCCCTAACTTCAATAGCTTATTCATAAAGTAACAAGGAATTTATTCAGCCATATAACATGTAGTGGAGCCTACATTTATAGAGAGAAAATTATATATTATAAATGATAATTGAAAATATAGTTATGAAATAATTTGTTCTTTATTCTTTATTAAGTCAAAAATTGATAATGGTGTATATTAAATTGCTAAAAACAAAAATACTGTGTGTTGGTGCTAGTTAAATTAATTGTATGTCTAGCTGTAGTTACTTTGATCTATTGCTTCAAATGTACAATATAATAAATACTAAAATGTAAAATGCGTAGTACACTATGGTATAATTCTTAGCAAAAGGTGGAATTACATAACATTAGATCAAGCAATCATGTAACAATGGAGGACTATTTTAAATACCACAATTAGGTTCAAGGCATACAAATATATTCTGTAATATAAAATAGAGTTAAAATAAAGAAAATAATTTGTTATTACTTGGATTATCTCGTTTGCATCTACTTTTTAATGACAAAAAAAAATAACTTTCTTGTTTATGATCAGATTTTCAGTTTTGAAACTGATCTATAATCCGATTGAAAGCCCTATATGTAATTATTATATTGTTTTACTGTATTTTAAGTTTTGAATTGGCTTAGCAACTAGTATGTTACAGTAAACATATTTAAATTATGGTTTTTGTTTCCTAATTAGTTATTCATTATTGTTGTTAAAATTATTTAGTAGTATTTAAAAATATTTATGTGTAATTCTTTAAATAGGATTTGTTATTTTACTTCAAATATCAATAAAAGAAATCTAAACAAAATAGAGCCATAGTTTTCCCATAATACTAGACCTAACTAGTAACTTGACTTTATCAAATGTTAAATTTATATGGTGTTTTGTACTTTAAAAATTTAAGAAATATGCAGAATAAAAAGTACATTTTTGTTAAGAAGAAAATATCTTGAGTATTCTTATTTATAAAAATAAACATAAGTTTACCTAGTTAAAGTGAATTATGTTTAAACATTTAAGGTAGAAAATGAATAAATCAAACAAATTATTAATTAACCTTAATACTTGAAGCATATTGTTATTTGTTATACTAAGTGCTAGTCTTTAGAAATGTATATTGCGCTAATCAACAAGACTTCACTTACAATCTGTACAATTATTATCCCAACTTTGCATTGAAGTGGGGAATGGGGGTTGTATTGTTAGAACAATAGATAAATTAGATAATAATCAAGAATAAATTGTACTTTCACTTCATTTAACATTTCCTCATCGCTCTTGTTCATTGAGATATAACAACAGTAAACACAACTTCAAATCAGTCTTCTTAAGTTCTTCTGTTTCATCTGTACCCAGTATTGTGCATCTTGCTCTGTTCTACAGATTAAATGTGATACTATTATGTTTTAACATTAAATATGAAAGTATTCCAATAAAGCTTCTGTGATTTTAAGTTATGTTATCGCTTTGTTTCACCCAGATAAGATCGTTTTTTTTTTTGTGTGTAAAGAAAAGTAATTCGGGCTTTCATAAACTTTTTGTATTTCATGAGTTATCTCTCCTGTTTAAAAAAAAATTAAAATAATTTCCACCTCGTGAAATAATAGAGTATTGATAATATTATTTTTTAAAAAATCATATAGATCTATATATACTTTAAGTGTTGTTTGAGAACTATTTTGAATATCATTATTCCAGACTTTTTAAATTTAGGCCTAAGTAGATTATTTAGTTTGCAGTTAGGAAAAGTAGAGATAACGTCGTGATGTCTATTTGGGTTTTCAAATTTTTAAGGTTTTTTTTTTTTTTAAATATTAATTTACTATTATTTTGCCATTATATCGAAAATCTTTCAACTCTTTATTGAGTTTGCGTAATTTTCCATTGTTATTACATAAATTTACGTTTGACAATTTTATGTACGCAAAAAGTTTGGCTTTCATTTTTTTTACGCTTGAGCATTTAAAACTTAATATTTATTAAAAAATAACTACTGCAGATTAAATTAAAATATAAATTTGTACAGTTTTCTTTTTAGTTTAAAAAAATCCGAGAAAGAAAAATAACAAAATGTAGGTCACTCGCCCACTCCGATCTGAGATCTTAAATTAGTTCAAGGTCAAGTATTGGTGATCAATAACGCGGAATTCTTAGAGTTGGATGGTTGCTGAGAGGTGGTGGGCGTTTTTTTTTAAGGGGTGGGGTGGGGTTGGTTGCTGCGAGCTAGAGGGTTGTTGGGAAGTGGGTGGTTTCTGATGGGTTTTTTTTGGTTTTGTATCGAGCTAGAGGGTTGTTAACTGTTTTTTTTTTTTTAAATATTATTTTATTATCAATATGCTGCGAGATAGAGGATTGTTAGGAAGTGGGTGGTTGCTAACAGCTGTAGCTGTTTAGAGCTGGGTGGTTGCCCATAGTTGTCGTGTTGTTGAGAGCTCTATTTTTAGGCCGTGAAGTCGATGCAAGTTTTTTTTAAATTTTAAATTAAAACCTT